GGTTAGAACGGATAAAAGGAAGTCCTTCTTCACCCAAAGAGTGATGAACACACGGAATTCACTGCCACAGGAAGTGGCGGCGGCTACAAGCACGGACGGCTTCAAGAGGGAATTGGATAAGCATATGGAGCAGACAGGTCCATCCGTGACTATTAGCCACAAGGTATAGACAGGAACTCTCAGGCTGGTGCTGGGGGGGGGGGCAACAGTGGGAGGGCTCTTAGTGTCCTGGCCCCACTGCTGGACCTCCTGAGGTCACCTGGTATTTGTGGCCACTGTGTGACAGACAGAGTGTTGGACTGGATGGGCCATTGGCCTGATCCAACATTGGCTTTTCTTGTGTTCTTATAAGAGGGAACTGGATAAACGTATGGAGCAGAGGTCCCTCAGTGGCTATTAGCCACAAGGTATAGACAGGGGCTCTCAGGCTGGGGCAAGTGATGCTCTGTCTTCTTGGTGCTTGGGGGGGGGGGCAACAGTGGGAGGGCTTATAGTGTCCTGGCCCCACTGGTGGACCTCCTGATGGCGCCTGGTATTTCTGGCCACTGTGTGACACAGAGTGTTGGACTGGATGGGCCATTGGTCTGATCCCACACTGGCTTCTCTTGTGTTCTTATATGGAGCTGAAGTCCATCAGTGGCTCTGAAACACAACGGATAGATAGGAACTCTCAGTGTGAGGCAAAGGATGCTCTGTCTTCTTGGTGCTTGGGGGGGTTAACAGTGGGAAGAGCTCCTAGTGTCCTCCTGGCCCCACTGCTGGACCCCCTGATGGCCCCTGGTGTTTTTGGCCACTGTGTGACACAGAGTGTTGGACTGGATGGGCCACTGGCCTGATCCAGCATTGGCTTCTCTTATGTTCTTAGCAACCATTGACTTCCTTGGTGGTCCCCCATCTAAATACTATCCAAGACCGACCCTGCGTCACTTCCGAGATCTGATGAGAGCAAGGCATGCTGGACCATCCAGGTCAGGACAGAGGCAAACAGAGGTGGGTTTGCCATGGCCTCCCTCTGCAGAAGAACCCAAGGACTCCCCGGGTGGTCTCCCATCCCGTGACTCCACCAGGGCTGGCCCTGCTTGGCTTCCGAGATCTGACGAGACCAGGCCCACCTGGGCCGTCCAGCTCAGGGCCTAGTAATTGTGTCCTGTCAAGTCACAGCTGACTTAGGGTGACCCCAGAGGGATTTCAAATCGAGGGATGAACAGCGGAGGTGGTCCGCCATGGCCGGCCTCTGCCTCGCCCATCCAAGCCCCAACCAAGGAGAACCCTGTTTCGCTTCTGAGATCTGATGAGGTGGGGGTCAGCCCAGGCCGTGCAGATCTAAATCTACATACTGCCCAACCGGGAGGGAGGCTGGTGCATCCCACGACTCTGCTGTGTCCCCCCCCCAAATATCCTGCCCCAGCTTACTACCCTACCCCTCATGCCAAGTAATTGTCAATTCCTCTGGAAGACCTCCTGTCATGATCTCGGCTGTGCCACCAGAGGCCTACTAGGCCCAGGGAGCCTGGCTAGCAGTAGGTGAGGCTGGGCCTACAACTCCCAGAAGCCCCTGGGAGGTTTTGGAGCCAAAATGGACCAATAGGGAAGAAGAGGGCTGGGGAACAAAAGGGCTGGTGCCAGAGCAGAAGCTGTTCTTTCTTCCAGAGGGCAGAGCCAGAAGGAAGGCTGCTGCAGGGGAGAGACCCTCATCCTGAGGGAAGGGTGAGTAGTCTGGTGCCACTTGGAGTAGTGAGCTAGGGACAGTACATATTTAGACGCGTTGGGGCATTTGGTTTCTTTTCACCCACTTGCTGTTATTCTTCTGCACTTTGTTGTTTGACCTCCTATAAAATAAATAAACCTTTTCCTTGTTTCACTCTGCCTGGTCCTCACGCCTGTTATTCGGCCAAACAAGGGAGGTCTGAAGGTCTTGGGAGGGTGCTCTGGGCCTTCTCAAGGGAGCCTGGAACCAGAGTGGTGGCAGTGCCAGGTGACACCCCACCTGAGCCGTGACACCTCCGCTAACCTTTAATCTGCAAGCGCCATGGCTTCCCCTATGTGATGCCAGCAGGAAGGATACTGTGGCCAGCGTCACACCGATTTGAATGTCACTCTTCGAGGGCTTGCCCAGAGAGCATGTTGCCGTGCCTGTTTCAAATTGCCAATGCCAGAAAAAGGGACTCGGTAGTGTAAAGAAGAAAAATATCAGGGAAAACCAGTGAGAGGAATGGAAGCCAGGAACCACGGTTCCATAACCCACGAAAGCAGCTCTCCCTTGGAAGAGGAGAAAGATCTAAAAACGAACAGGACAAGTGCAGGCGGCCTCCTCACCGTTAGCAAGTACTCCACGGCGCGGTGAGGGTTGTTGTAGCTGGCCCGGAGTGCTGCCACCACCCGCTCTCGCTCGTAGCCCATCGACATGATTTCGGTCAGCATCGTCTCGTACTCCGAGCCAGTGACTGGAGGCGGAATTGGAAGACAGCTTAGTGTTAGGCAAAGAACTCCCTGCCACTGGAACGACCTGACCCTCATGCGCGGGAAGGAGACTGGATTCATACCCCATGGCCCTCCACTACCCAAGGGAGTCTCGGAGCGGCTGACAAACTCCTTTCCCTTCCCCTCCCCACAATAGACACCCTGCGAGGTAGGCGCGGCTAAGAGAGCTCTGACAGAAACTGCTCTTTTTCAGGAACAGCTCATCAGAACTATGGCTTGCCCAAGGTCATCCAGCCAGGTGCAAGTGGAGGAGTGGGGGATCAAACCCGGTTCTCCCAGATTAGAGTCCGCACACTTAACCACGACACCAAACTGTGGCTCAGGAGCCGCATGCAGCTCTTCCACACATCTTGTGCGGCTCCCGGCAGGGCCCCTGGGGAAGCTAAATATCACTAGCAAACATATATCATTGGACAAACAAATATCATCATCAATATCTGCCTTTACCGCTTTTGTTATTATTTTGGCACTCTTGTTTAATGTTAATAAAAAGCAAATCTGCATATTTCCCAGTAAAAACGTGTAATATTTGTCTATGTCTTGTGTCTGACATTTGTTCCATGTGGCTCTTAACGTCAAGCAAGCTTGGCCACCCCCTGCCGTAGAGTCCCCCCTCCAGAGTACCCATTTCCTCCAGGAGAACTGATCTCTGTAGCCTAGACAATAATTTGGTGTAGCCAGTCCGGTGTAGTGGTTAAGTGCGCGGACTCTAATCTGGGAGAACCAGGTTTGATTCCCCACTCCTCCACTTGCACCTGCTGGATGACCTTGGGCAAGCTGTAGTTCTGATAGGAGCTGTCCTTGAAAAAGAGCTGTTTCTGTCAAGAGCTCTCTCAGCCCCACCTACCTCACAGGGTGTGTCTGTTGTGGGGAGGGGAAGGGAAAGGAGTTTGTCAGCCGCTCTGAGACTCCTTTAGGTAGTGAAGGGCAGGGTATAAATCCGATCTCTTCTTCTTCTTCTAATTATGATAGCAACAATTCTCCAGGTGCCACCAGGAGGTTGGCAACTCTAACCATGAGTTGGAATGTTTATGTTGATCTCAGGGCCCCGCCCCCAATTCAATACTTGTATCTGGACCCCAACCCTTTAGGGGCCACCAGTGGCCAGAAGTAGAATCCAGGAGTCCAGCTCTCAAGTACCTCCCGCTCTGAGGGTGGATTTTGCACCTTCAAACCCTTGGGAGATTGCTCCATCCCAAAGAACCCAGAATCTAGCCCTAAACCCCATTTCCCTCCCTCCGGAGTGGGAGACTGGGCCATTAGGACTCTTTCAGAAATGGGGGGGAACAGCCCGCAATTCGAGTGTCAGATCCTGCTGCTTCTGCAGTGCGGCCTCCCAAAGCACACACGGGCTCAGTGCCAAGCACGCTGCCCCGGCCGTGCCTCGGCCCTAAGGCAAACAGCGCAGCAACAGCGGAGGCCGGGGCCCAAAGGGCACCCGCAGAATGGCTCCCAGCAGGACGCCCAGGTGCTAAGAGAGACTTCGCCTCTGGTTGCCGTCTTCAAGGGCTCCTCTGAAATCCCCAGGCTCCCACACAGAAAGAACCCACTGAATTTCTTTATCCTACAAGTCTGCCTTTCTCCTCCTAGCCCTCCCCCCCCGCTTCCTGCACATACACTGCTGTATTCCCAACCCTAAAACAAATGAAAACGATAGTGACACCTCGGTGCACAACACAGCCCATCTGCGGGTCCCGAGGTGAAAACTGGTCACCCACGGCATGCTGGAGGGATCAACCGGCAATCAGAGCAGCATTTTGACAAGCGGCGGCCACTAGAGGGCAGCAGCACCACCCAATGAACTCTGGTGTGTGTGTGTGTGTGGGGAAGCCCGTTAAGGAGGGATCCCGCGGGGACACCCCAAAGTTTCCAGTCAAGGCGGAGGGAAGGGGCGGGGAGAGTGGCCCCTTGCAGCCAAGCAGGGGCTGAGCCCTCTTCGGCCCGGCCTGCGGAGCAAAAGGAGCTCACCTACCTAAGGTGGAGGCTGCGTCATCGTCACGTCCCATGCTACCTGAAGAGGGAACAGAGCTGCGAATTTAAGAGAGAGAAATAGTAGCTGGGTACTTCCAGATAAACGGCCGAGAAAACCGAAAGAGCAGCCGCTTTCCCCTCCACGCTTGCAGCTCGCCATGGGGAGACGGCTCCCTGCACAGCCCTGCTGGGTGGACTCCCGCTGAGGAATGCTCTCTGGGGAGGGGGGGCGGCGAAATAGGGGGGATTCCAGGTACCAGGCTAGGAGGCAGCTGGGAGCACCGGAGGACAGATGCCCCCCCCCGAATGTGTGCTCTGCACCTCACCGTGCCCCAGCCAAAGAAATAACCCCCAAATCAGCAAATACCGTGCTACGGACGATTATAAAATATCTCAAATAATCTTTAGATATTTTTGTTTTGTATTTTTACAGTTTATTCACCATATATTATTTATCATATAAGCCTTAATACAAAACATCTAAGTATCGTCTCTTAACATATCAGAAAAGATATTGCACAACCCCTTTATTAATACCAGTCCTCCTTAATTATCCAAAAGTTTTAAGAGGGAGGACTCCTTTAAGTGCTCAGTCTGCCTCCAACAGAGGTCTGGATATCCTCCTGTTTCAGTGTCTTCCTCGGGGAGTTCAACAGGTATTTCCAAGCACAAGGTTGCCAAATACCAAAATATTTATCCACATTTATCAATGAACGCTGCAAAAAGTCTCTCTTAGTGAGCTCAAAGCTTCCTCCAAAGTGAAAGGCACGTTATTTGCTGATTTTTGGTATTTCCTACTTACCGTGGGTCCTATTTTGGTTTTGTGAGAAGAAATAACCCCGGCTGTACTGAAAGGACCTTCACGGAGCAGGGACAGGTGTGAGGCCTTCCAGAGGGGACCCTGGCTTCTGCAGACACCAGGCTGCGACCAAACCCACCCCTCGGCACAGGGCGACGCCTCGGCTACTTCCGGTCCCCGAGTGCCAGGATTTTGCTACAATGCCCAATGGAGGACCTGCCTGGGCCACACCTGATTGGCCGCAGAGACGGGAGACGCCACCTGCCTCCCAAGATAAGCTCCCAGTTCTCCTTGCTCCGTTGCCCCAGAACGACCCGTTGTGGCGCCGGATTGCCAGAACTGGCTGCTCGGAGCTAAACTGCCTCCCTCTGTCAGGCAGTTCCAAAATCCCCACGGAGCGACCGAGAGCTGCTGAGCAGCGGGACAAACCTGACTTACCCAACGGTGGATTCCGGAGGGGCCACGGTCACGGGCTCTTCGGGAGGGGGCTCCTCGCTCACAGGCGCTGTCGCTGCTGCGGGCGCCACGGCTGGCGCAGAGGATGGTGGGGACTCCGTGGAGGGCGCTGCGTCGCTAGGGGTGGGGGTGGGAGCACCGGAGCCGCTTTTATTCTGAAAGGAGAACCCAATGGAGGAACCTCAGGAAGGAAGAACTGGCGGAGCGCAGAACGCAGAACAGACCAACCTTCAAGTGACTTGGGAGCAACCAAAGGGACCCTAGCTCCCCCCCCCCCCCCCCCCCCACAGCAATGCTCTGCTTCACTGGTCAAAGACCAGAGATATATTTTTTAAAAACTTTTGTTTTCTTATTATTTTCCAAACACAAGGAACATTTACAAGTTTCATAAACTGGAAGGAAATCATTAGAGAGAGGAAGAAGAAAAGAGATTGGATTTACACCCCACCCTTCCCTACGAAGGAGTCTCAGAGTGGTTCAAAATCTCCTTTCCCTTCCCCTCCCCACAACAGACACCCTGTGAGCAGTGTTCCCTCTAAGCTGAGTTAGTGTGAGCTAGCTCACAGATTTTTAGCCTCCAGCTCACACATTTTTATCTTAGCTCAGGAAGGAGGCCTCCAGAGCAAACTGATTTATGCAGTAGCCAAATCGCTCGCTCACAGCTTTAATGCCAGTAGCTCACAAAGTAGAATTTTTGCTCACTAGACTCCACAGCTTAGAGGGAGCTTTGCCTGTGAGGTAGGCAGGGCTGAGAGAGCTCTTGACAGAAACTGCTCTTTTTCAAGGACAGCTCTGACAGAACTGTGGCTTTCCCAAGGTCATCCAGCAGGTGCAAGTGGAGGAGTGGGGAGTCAAACCCGGTTCTCCCAGATTAGAGTCCGCGCACTCAACCACTACACCAAACTGGCTCTCACATACATAAACATTTTTACTTGTGGTTATTACAAGCAGTCCAACCCCACTGTTAGATGAATAACAGTCCTCTAAACATGAATTTTTATCTTATTATGGGCTCGGATGGATTATTACTCTATCTGCCTTCTTCTTGAGGTTTTCCCCCTCCCATAGCGTTGAACATTATCAGTTCACTTCTGTTCTAATACTAAACTAATTTAAAGCCTTTAAACTTAAATGAGAGTATTGAAATTAATCCGTTTCTTAAATTTTCTTTCTGCTTAGAGATAATTTCTTTCTGCCAGAGACAATAGATCCGTCATCGGGGGGACTGATTTGTCCACAGTTAATAGGCAGGGACACGTCTCGTAACCCACTATGAGGAGTTTAACTTGTCCAGTGTTCTCATGTTTAACTTGGTGCCCAGATATGAAGCCGGCCCTTTTGGGAATGCGAGAGATGGTCTCTGTCTAACTAACACACTTCCTTTTTGTTTTGTTTTACTGCAAAATTTGTGTTTTCTACTTTCGGCTCCCCCCACATTCCTTTCATATGGCAAAAGACAAAGATACCTTCACGCAGGGGTTATTTAGGAGAAAAAGAGGTGCAGGAGCTCATTAGCATAACTCATTTGCATATGCCACACCCCCTGACATCACCGGAAGTGTGTCAGAAGGCAACACCCACCGCTCAGGCTCCACTGGACTGCTTTGGATTGCTAGCTATTTGGGGGGGGGGGACATGTAGATCTGCCCTCGCAGAGGAGGGAGAGCTTGTACCTGAATAAAACTTGGTCTTAAAGGTGCCACTGGAGTGTTTTGGATTGCTGTCGGGGGGGGGGGGGGGTCTGCCACTCCCTTTTTTTGGGGTTGGCGGCGCGGGGGGGGGGGGGCTCTGCAACTTACCTGGCTGCTTCTTGCTCTGACTGAGGGCTGCTGGGAGCAGGGGAGTGGGGCTTGTTGCATGTGCCCGCCCCCTGGGCTCTTTACTGCCGGAGCTCCGCTCCTGTGCGCTCCTGCAGGAAATGACCCCTGCCTTCACGGTAAAGGACAGGGCAGTTTGACACTGTCTTTCTTTCAAATGGGCAAAACCAACCACTGCTTGTGCACATGCCTTCTCTGTGTGAGCCCCCAGGAAACCACCCCCACCCCCCCGGGCTGCTTGCAAACTATGCAGAACTGAACTACTCCAGAGGGCTTTTCTGCACAGGTAACAGGATTACACTGCACAACACGGTTTACAAACTCATTTTATCCAATCATTAAGGACTGTCGTCTATACTGCTGCATATAGCTTATTGTAAGCAGGAGCCTATTGGGTCATTTCTGTACTGTTTAATGCAGGGGTGTCGAACTCATTTGTTATGAGGGCCAGATCTGACATAAATGAGACCTTGTTGGGCCGGGCCGGGTGTGTCATAAAATGTAATGCCAAGTAGCGGAGATATAAACTTTATAAAGGACACAGACAAACACAATTAAAGATTTTTTAAAAACTTTAAATAAAACATGCTTAAAACATTAGCACTCATGCAATGTTTTGTTTATTTAGAGGTATCTGATAACTGACGCCTCTTGCTTTGAATCATTGCATCAAAATGTCTGTGCCGTTGCAGTCTTGAGTATGCTGTTCAGGTGTATACCTGTAAGCTGCAAACCTACTTTTGATTTATCGACATCCACCACAGAAATCTCCCGCTCAGAGTTCTGAGTCTAGGACCCAGAGGAAAGCATGAAATGGCTGAGCGATTGAGAGTCTGGTGAAGCAAGCTATGATGCATCAGCAGAACTAGAAGCAGGAGACAGCCAGTTCCACTGAGGGCCTGAGGGAAGCCCTCCGGGGGCCTAATCCGGCCCCCGGGCCTCATGTTTGACACCCCTAGTTTAATGTGTGAATACTTGTGCTGTGCCTCAGTTCTTTCTGGTGGTTCCAGACTTCTAATGCACTGGCTACTGAATTCCCCATTTTTTTGTGATTGTACTGGCGTGTAATCCACCTTGAACCCCTGCAAGAAAGGTGGACTATAAGTAATGTAAATAAAGACAAAAATCTAATATGGAGCTGCTTGTAGAAAACTAAAGCATGTACAGTTTTATACTGAAAACAGTAAAACTGTACGTGCTGTGGCTAATTTCACATGTGTTGGATGATACACTTTCAGTGTGCTGTTTGCAGTTTGCAGCTGGATTTTCCTGTGCGAACCATGGAGATCGACTTGCTAAAGTGCTTTGAAAGCGCATGATCCAATGTGTGAGTCAGCAGCCTATGTAAACTAAAACAGTAATGAGTTTGGGCTTGGGAAGAAAGCAAAGTGTGGCACGTGCTTCCATCCGTTCCCCCCCAAATCTCCACTTTTTCCCAGGAAAGAAAAAGCTTGGCTTTAAACTGCCTGAAAATCCTGCTCCTCTGGCGGCCACCAGAATAGGTCCTACTGAGCCGGCTTTCTCCCCCGCCACCCGCTGTCAGGAGCCCCAGCTATAGCAGCTTTACTGGGAAGGGAAGTGCCCGGCCATACCTTGGTGACCATCACCACCACAAAGTTCTTCTCGTCAATCTTGTACTCCTTGATGGGCACGTCATCGCTCAGGATCTTGCCGGCGTAGATGAGCTTTTGCCCCGACACGGGGAAAGCGTCTTTGCCCTTCTCGGCCTCAATCTTCTCCTTCAGGACTCGCACCTGTGGATCAAGACCAAAACCGTCGCCACTGTCTCGCCTTAAGGCCGAAGGACCAGGCAGCCGATCTTTCTGCTCCCATCGGCACGGAGGAGCCCGGGGCTGAAAGGCCATCGCCCAAGTCACAATCCTTCAGCAGTGGCCAACACACAGGTAACTCATGCTTCATTCCCGGTGCAGAGCTCGTGGTTCCTACAAATGTTTAGGACAGCAGAGCTTTGGCTTCCCTGCCTTCTGACATCCACTCCAAAGGCTTAGTCTACCCCTCCTTCACTCCTAGAAGCACAAAGAAACTCGAGCAGGGGTCCCCAATCTTTCAGAGCTTGTGGGCACCTTGGGAGTTCTGACTGGAGATGTGAAGGCCCGGAAAAAACCCGGAAACATTCAGAAAAAAAACGTGTTTTTTCCATTTTTTCCCTGAAACCTCCCCCCCCAAAAAAAAATTGGCAAAATTGAAAAACGAAAAGAAAAGAAATTGATTATGGAAAGTTTTATTTTAACATGATGAATAAAAAATTTTAGGAAAAGGA